CACTCGCTGAAAGACCTCACTTCCTAGTTCCCAAACCTTGTCAAGATCCCGAGAGCTGTGTACATGCTCCCCGCTCGCGTCCTGTTGCATTTTTTCGGGGAAAGGCTCAATTCCGACTAGAACTCCCGGACCTTGCTTCATGGAATCATGGAATCGTCATTGGTTACTATTTCCCTTCAAAAGTTTCTTCCCGTATCTGGGCAGTTTTGCAGAATTTACAAAACTTTTGGACATTTTGCTGACATTATTCACCGAGTCACACTTCACCGATCGATGGCTTCTTATTTCTGCGGATGCAGGTTGATGGAAAGTAGGATTGTCATTGGAACAGGCCAATGAGCATAGTATTGGGATTCTTTCAAGAGGAAAGAATGAAGTAATCATGAGATACCGACATAGGCATTGCCTCTTGCCGTTATGGAAATCTAAGATAAACTAAAAGGATATCACATTGCGTGCAAAAAATACTTTTCCTAGGCTTTGTCTTCTCGTATGTCCGTCCTTGCTGTCGGCCACACTCCTGATGATCACTTTATTTCCAACTGATCGCAAGGATACCTTCGAGCCACGATTTCCGATGTCACTGAGCACGTAAGATTCTTTACTTTTTCATATCAATTCACTTAAAGACTCAGAAGAGGAGTAGAAACACCAAAACGTGATTAAATCTCCCTTACTATGATTGGAGACCTCTATCGGTAGTCGGCCTACTTTCTTCTCCTTGAAATTGGGCAATAATCCCGCAAACTAAATTGGTTTCATCAGAGGGAAGTAATCTGCAAGGAATAACTGAAGTCAGCAGTTAACATTAGAACCCCAAAAGCGGCGTTTGCGCTAGGGAGCAGAACACATGGGGAAGACGTCTTCCAGCGCTTTTTCATTGCTCTTTATTGACCCGTGCGCAACCTAACAAACAAGTTTTCGCAGTTGTTTGTGGAAAGGGCCGTTTTCAGTAAAGACCGCTTTTATAATTTTAGCAGACATAGAATGAAGAGATCATTTTGTTGCTTGGGGAGGATTTGGCGTTTTTTTGCCATTCTAATGCCTGTGTATTCTCAAACCTCCTCCTCCTCCTTGGTTAACGGCATTGGGGAGTGATATGTAGCGAACTACACAGGACCGAGGTAGAACCTTTGAATGAGCAATGTAGAGACGACGAGAAGGCCTATGAAGACCCTTCTGAAAATGGTGGTACTTGGCCCTAACTTCTTCCATGGTGATGATTGACCGTGCCCTGTTTGGATCCGCCTCCAAGCTGATCTCCTAAATCCAAGCGCAAACTCTGTTTCCACGCCTCACGAATACAAAATCGGCGTAGCTGCGCAGTTCCTGGAAATAGTTAGTCTTTTTCCTCCAAAAGGAAAAATGTGACGCGAAGAGAGGAGATTTTATTTATCCTCGCGAGTAGATTTTGATTTTAGTGGCGTTTTTTTTTTCTAAGAGTAGGATCTGGAATAAATGCAGAAAATATGAGGAAACGCGAAAAAGTGGAACCGCGATAGGCAGGGTGGGAAAAGAAAGTGAAAGATTATGGTAGTGAAAACGTGAGAACGAAAGGTGACGAGTGGACACTCGCAGAGATCTTACATTTCATTCATACCCGTAAGCGTAAAACAAATGATATATTTTCTATTCCAATGAGTTACAACGACCATTTTTCATCAACTTTTCTTTCAGATCACTTCCTCGAGTGATGTTGTTGACAGCATTACTAGACTCATTCTGGCGTGTGGCATTCTTTTTTCAATTACTAGAGATCGACTTCGGCTTCAGGATTGTTACTGGGAGTGAACTTGGAGACGAGATTCTACAAAGATTGCTGGAAACGCTGTTTGAGGTACCTAGAAGTCTTTACTTTGGGTGTTAACAAAAGCTTTTTCCTTGCTCGATTGGTTGGCCATGAAATTTGCAATGGTACCATGTCCAATAAAATTCTGGAAACAACCCCTTA